GGAGAGGAGTGAGAGAGCATCTCAGCGCCTTCTCTCCTTAAAGCATTTCCTCTGTCTGAAAGCCAGACTCAGCAGGAGCCCGGCCTAGTAACAATCTCCTGAGCTGTGGTTCCTCAGCAACTCTTCTCTGTTCTCAAGGAAAGGCTGGCAGGAGCTTGCTCCCTGACTCTGTGCACCTGGAGGAATGGAGGAGGGGGGACCTGCCAGCCCGGGAAACTTCACTGGCCCTAGACGACTGGGGTGGCAGGAGGGAATCCATTCTCTCACTCACACAGGAGGCACTCAGGGCTAGCACAGAATCTGCACAGCGGAGGACACAGGGCTCATCTGTTTGCCAGCTTCAGCGCTTGGTGGGTTTCTCTCACGTGAGGATTCCAAATTATCGATAAAGAGCAAAATAAAAGACAGATCCTAGGAAATAGGAAGGTAGATCTTCCTCAAATGGGAAGGGGATCGAGATATGAAAGGAGAGGGAGGAGGAGAGGGGAAGGGGATGAAACAAAGCAGGAAGATTGTTGTGCGCATGCGCCAGGCCTGCACCCGGAAGGCAGACATTATATACTGCAAACCTGTGCTCATGAAACTGAAAACAATAACGTTAAAATTAAAAAACAATCCCCAACAATGCACGGTGGTTGGAAGAGTGTAGCCATAACTGCACCATGCTCTGAACCCAGATGCCGGATCTGTCTTCTTATTCTACCTCCTAGGGCCTGGGAGACCGTAGAGCTTAGCTTTTTGCCACTCCTTACAGGTCCTGTCAGGTCACTATCATCCTACGGCCCGAGGGAGCCGCTACAGCCTGGATTCAAATCCTGCTACATCTTGCAAACTGTACATCCTCTTTCTGGGCCTACATTTCTTTTTCAACAAAAAATGAAAAGGGAAACATGATTTCCATACCCAGAGCTATATCACAAAACCGAAAAGACTGTAGGTGACCTGCCTAAGACATTCCATAACATGGGATGGCTATGTAGTAGTTGACAGACGCTAACAGGTATTTAGTGTGTTTGAACTTGTAATGCTCATTGGAGCCTGGATTCCTGGGGAGACACATTCTCTGTCTCCCTCCCTCCCTCTCTTTCTCCCTCTTCTGCTTCCTGTCTTCTGTATACAGTTTTTCCAGATTCGTGGATTTTAACCTTTTGTTGCATTTGCTTATTGTCTTCTCTCTATGCATAGACAGATGGGTAGACAAACGTGAATGTGTAAATTACACATTAACTTTTTGTGCTTCATGTTATGTGTGCAAACTACCACCAGAATTAAAAACTTCCAAAATTTTTAATTTCTCTTCTAAACCATTATGTACATCTTATCCTTTCACTTATTAATATTTTCAACTCTAGTACCATTAGATATAGGACTTCTTGCATTGCTAGAAAACTTGGATCTGCATCCAAATATGCCTTGTTTGTAAACTGTCTGGATGATATGAGACTCTACCCCCTCCAGTGTAGGATCTGGCCCTAGTGACCCGTCCGTGCAGTCTCTTGGAATCTGGGAGGTGCCTCAGTCATTTTCACTTCCAGGACACTGACAGCCTTTAAAGAACCCAGGCCGATCACAGAATACTCTTCAATTAGGGGTTGGCTGATGTTTCTTTGATTAAATCAGACTCAGGCTCTGCCGCCAGTGGGAATGCTTATAAGCAGTGTGTTGCTTTTTCTGTGCATCAATCTATAGCCATTGACATCCGTCTGCTCCTCATTGCTAATGTGAATTTTGATCACGCTGTCAAAGTGTCATCGTCTTCACCACTGCATAGCGATTACTTCTCCGCTTTCAACTAGGAAACAGTCCTGGGAGCACGCTTTGAGACCAGGAGAGCATTCTGCCCTTGTCACATGTCCTCCCGACTTGGCACCTGTGGGGACTCTTGCCCAGCCAGGCCTTCACAACACCACCACCCTTGGGCTTCTAACATCCGCCTTCTGAGCTAAGAACCCTGGGTAGGAAGGACAAACATTCAAGGACAGAAGTCAGGCTAGAGAGATCTTCCCTGCAAAGGCTGGAAACACATCCAGGGGTAAAAGCAGGGAGAGGAAGGACCTTAAAAGAGGGAGCAGAAGAAAGTTGCAATTAAGAGAAACTCAGTGGTACAGGAAGAGCCTGGACATAGCTGCCCACAGAGACAAGGGCTGCCCTCCGTGAGCCACACTCAAAATGGCCGACTCGGAAAGTCCCTCCTCACTGCTGGTCACCCACAAAACCTGATAGTCTTACTTTTCTCACAGGATTTTCCTGTGTTTCAGACCACTATGGAATGTAAAGTGTCAAGCACACTTCATGTAAGTGGTCATTAAACGCCCTTTTTCCTCTCCTTTTATGTGTTGAGACATTTCCATGGAAACTCACCTTTTTGCTTTCACCGAGACCCCTTTAAAATTTTTACAATTACTCTAAAAGCTCCATTTTTTTCATCTGAAACGAGAAATATTAAAGGTAATAGTATACCAGATTTTCTAATAAAAGTCAATTAAATGGAGGTTTGAAACTGCTTCAACGAGGAGGTCTCAGAGATGCTTGTATTTCAGAATCATTTTCATTATTTTTGGTAAATTAAATAAAACAAAACTAATTAATTATTTTCCATGATGATAATCATATTTCACTAAAATATGACAATAATAATTGCTGCTTTGGAAATTGGATACTTAGTATTTGCTGGGCCCTTTGCCAATTGCTTTTCTCCTAGCTCTCCCACTGCCTTAGTATGTTGGTGTTCTCGCCAATTTACAGATGAGGATATTGAGACTCAGTGTGCCCGAAGGTGGCAACCAGGAAATAGTGTACTCTGTCTCCAAAGCACAGGTACTCTGTGGCCTGGGTTCTTGACAATGATTTCAATGAGATGAAATTTCACCTTTCCCATGTGCTTCTGAAGTTGGTTTACAAGTGCAACCAGCCATGTATTTGATACAGGGATAGTTATTGCTAACCAGACACTTCACGCGTTCCCTTTCACATTCCATTCTTCCCTGCCATTGGGCTGAGGCCAAATCCCTGTAAGAAAAGTGACACATGTTCCCTCGGCTGAGGCAAGCGAAAGCTGACTTGCTTGTTTCTTCTCTGTCTTCCCAAGCAGAAGTGACTTCAGAATCTCCACGTTAGGATGGCTATGACAAGACCTGTTGGATGTCTGAGTCACTGAATAAAGAAGCATCTGAGGCAAAAAGCACTAAACTCTATGTGTAGAAGAAACTAAACTTTGTCACGTTAAGCCACCGTGACTGCGATGTTTGTTACTGCAACATAACCTATCCTACGCTGACTGTTGCAACAGATAATCCTTTCTGATCTCCATCTGTCACCGGCGGGTTAAGGCCACCATCATTTTGTGTGCAAAGGAGGGTAGGTGATTTCCTTTCTCATCATCAAAGTAGAAATTTAATGGCATGGATTTGTAACTAGTTTTAGTCAAACCAGGTATAGTTTTGTTTTTCCAAAACAGAAGAAAGGTAAAAAGGAATAAATAAAAAGTAATGAAATTTAAAAAAAAACTTCCTTTTTTTTTGTTTGTTTTTTATAACTGAGGCTTACGTAGAGCTAAATGGACAAATTCTCTGATCTAAACCAGAGGGGTAGAGATAAAATTGTTTGCAGAAAGAGATAGCTGCATGCTTGTGATGTAGTGTTGTAAATAATGTTCCTGCAAAAACATCTGCAGACATCAGAGTCTAAAAGAAAGGAATCCCAAATAATAAGATGCTGCGTGATTAGAGGAAATCATTTTCAAATCACTGTGGGTTTTCATTTCTGCATTTGAAGGCCAAGCTTTGGTGGAATCTTATTAACAAGATGGCAAGGATAAGGAGCAAAACAATTTGACTAGAATCTGCTACAAACAGCACATGTTTTGAAAGATTACTGTAAGTGACTTTTAAATTTGTGTAATTCTCGTATAAAGTAAGTTTTCATTGGGCTGTAAAAACATTTTTCAATTTCTCTCGAAGAGAAATGGCAAAAGAGGTTAATTAAAAGTCAATGGAAGACTACTTAGGCACTTAAATATGTAATTTCTTGAGCTTCAAACTTAAATAGCTCAAAACTACAAAAAAGAGCTGACTATAATAATTCATCCTTTCTTCTTGAAACAGCTTTTTGTTTGCTTGATTTGATTTAAAATTGCATCCCCAAAGTCTGTGAAATCCTAGCTGTTGAATAACCATGTCCTATTTGAATGAATGAATGAGATGAATCCTGCGAACATAGTGGGTGCAATGGGGTTCTTTTCCTCTCTCTGAACTACTAATTACAGGATGATCCTGAACTCTGCCATTGCTCGTGTTATCTCCCTTGGATTAACGGCTGTTGCACATTTACCAGAGTCCTGCTAATTCTTTGGGATCCAGGTCAAACTCTTCTTATTCTGAGAAGCCCTCCCATACTCATGGCCTCCCCTGCTCTTGATTTCCTATTATACTGTTCAGGTAATTCGCTTACCATTTTAGGAAATTTTATGTTGTATGGTGGATTATGATTAATAGTCTTTTTGTGATTGTGATTAATAATCTTTTTGTGATTATATGCTGTTATGGACTGAATGCTTATGTTCCCTCGATCTTAAACTGAAGAGTGAATCTTTAATGAGGTGGTATTTGGTGATGGGACCTCTGTAGAGTAGCTAGATGAATACCTCGCAAATAGGATTGGTGCTTGTAAAACACTGAAGAGACTGGATATCTCTGTCTTCCAAGTCCTCACAGTGTGGAGTCAGCCACCTGTAAACCAGAAGGGGCCTTTCCCAAGAATCTGACCATGCTGACCCTCTGACTTTAGAACTCCAGCCTTCTGAACTGCCGTGAAATATACATTTATTATTCAAACTATCCCATCTGTAGGATTCTCTGACAGACCTTGAGCTGATTAAGGCAGATGCCTATCTCTTCCTTTATACCGTAAATTTCCTGGGATCAGGGAGGTTCCCAGGATCTTGTAGAGCCCTCCTGGACTGGCTTGGTAGCGATGATGGATAAACATTTCTAGGCTGTGTGTAACTCAGATCTAAGTTCAGCTCCATCTCCAGTAGAAGTTACTCTTCCCGTGAAAAGGAGGAGATTAAGCTCCAGCTCAGGAACCAAGTCTCCACACAAAACCTGGTCCAGCTATGGGACTGAATGGAGCTGGATGAGGCAGAGAGTTCCAGGGCCTGGAAGAGAAAATCCTTAGCTGGGGTTTCTGTTATGTTAGCAATCCAAAATATAAATGAGGAGCAAACTAACAGATAGATAAAAGGAAGTAGGGAGGTAGATCTTTTTCAAATTGGAAGGAAATGAAGAGATGGAGAAAAGGTAGAAGCAGAGGAGAGGGGATAAAAAAAGAATTAAGATGTGTTATATACAAATACTGACACAAGGAGAACAATCATAGTGTACTGCAAAGATGCAATAATAAAACTATAAGACCGAAGAAAAACTAAAAATGTGATTAGCAGAAATTTTCAGTGGGCTATAAAAAAACCGAACACTTCTTCATTGATATTTAAAATTAACTTTGGATATGTTTTAGATGGAGTAAAAGATTGTAAGGAATTCTGTTCATTACGGACAAGCTGCTGGTGGACCACAGCAGGGAAGCCTTATGTTTTGCTTTCAACAACAACTTCTAGAAATTTTGAGGCTTTCAAAGTATTCTCCTGTCTCCAGGCTGTTGCCTGTACTTCCCATCTATCTGGAACCAGGTTGACTCTTTTTTTTCCTTCTCTCTCATTGAGTTTATGGGTACATTTTAGGTATACAGTACAGTTACATTCATCATTGGGATCTTGTACCTTTACATGACAGGTCTTGGTTCTCATTTTTCCCCCTTACCCCTCCACTCCCCTCACCTCCTCCTCCCTTCCCTATTTACAAAACTTTTTTCCATTTTTTAATTTTCTCGTATTTTCCCCCTTATTTCCTTTCCTCTACCCTTCCTACTTAGGCCTTTTCTATTTCACATTGTCAATTATACCGTTTTGGATCTTATTTTCACTTTTAGTTTTCCACACCAGAGAAGCTATTCAGTATTTACATGTGTGACTTATTTATTTCACTTAAGAGTATGACCTCAATATGCATCCATTTTCCTACGAATGACTCTAATTTCTCATTCTTTATGGATGAGTAGTATTCCATTTTATAGAAAAACCACATCTTCTTTATTCAGTCTCCAACTGATGGGCAATTGGGCTGTTTACAAGTTTTAGCTATTACAAGCTGTGCCGCTATAAACAAGGGTGAACATATATCCCTGTGGTATGATTCTTGTAATTCTTTTGGAAAGATATCCAGCAGAAGATGGCTGGGTAAAATGGAACCTCCAATCCTAGTTGTTTGAGGTATCTCCATATTGATTTCCATAATGGTTGCATCAGTCTGCACTCTCACCAACAATGGAGAAGGGTTCCTTTCTCCTGTCAACATTTGTTACTGGTTGATTTCTTGATAGCAGCCATTCTTTGTGGGGTGAGGTGGAATCTCAGTGTTGTTTTCATCTGTATCTCTCAAACAACCAGTGATGTGGAACATGTTTTCTATTCTCTAGAATATATAAAGAACTCAAAAAAAAAAATCAGGCCCCCAAATATAAAGACCTGATTAAAAAATGGGCATTTGAAATGAACACACATTTCTCAGACAAACAAGTAAAAGCAGCAAATAAATACATGAAAAAATGTTCCAGGATGACTCTTTTATCAGGAATTTTCTTAAAAATATTTACCATGGTAACTTCATGCATCTGGTACAGTGATAAGAAGCAAAGAGAGATCTTTTCCAAGTTTCTCCCCCATCCAAGCTAAGCTGGTTTTTCCATCATGTGTAACTGTACTTCCGTTATTCTAACATCTGTCCACTGCAATTCCTCTCCTATTGTTCCTCTTTGTAATGTAAGCTCTACAAAAGTTTCAACCACACTTATCTGGTTAGCTGTTACATCTGCCATGCCAGCTACAAACCAGAAAGGGCCTCCACAGTGTTATGACACAGGGAGAACTCCTGAAGAACGCACTGATAAAATGGAAACAGCCACCATCTTAGGCAATGCGGAGAAAACTAGGAGAGCCATACGGAGTCTTGACTTAGACATATATCTGTAAAATTTCTGACAGTATTGAGAAAGAGATCAATACATATACTACAAATCTATCATGCAGTATTTACAGTACCCAATTTTTAGTAGAAAAATGATGAAGTGTTTTGACTTTTCATTTTGTGGATTAATTTTAATCTCTTCCCCTAATGCACAGGCTATTTCATACTAAAGTTTTCCTTCAAAGAAAATATTTTTTAGTGAAACATCTACCTGGATCGCATGACCACTACCTAATCGTTGCTGTCAAATTTTATTCCCAGAATGGACACTAAGATTTATACATTCACATTACAAAAGGTAGCTATCACTAAAACGTGTTAATGTTGTCTTAAAAAGTTAATAGTTGTATATTATTATGTGCCAGACACTGTGTTAAGTAATTTAGATCAATTACTGGAGAGTCACAACCCTTGTTCAAGGTCAGCACTATTACTGTTCTAATTCATTAATTTGTACACAAGACATTTATTGGGTTCATGCCATGTGTAAGACACTGAACTCAGTATCGGGGATATAATAGGGAATGCCGTAAGTATAAAATGTCTTGGAAATTCTAACTGTTAAGACAGCAGTGAGACAAATACTGAAAGTATCATTTATTTTATATGCTGAGAATGTTATAAAAATACAGCAGGGAAGTGAAAAGGAATTTTAGGCAAAGCAATTTTGCATGGAGAGCTCAGAGTAGCTGAGGGAGTCTGGGCTGTGTGGCCATTAATTGTGATAAACCTATCTGACTCGAGTGAGTACCATGCAGTAGATTGGGGAGCACACTTCTGGGTGTGCCTGTGAATGCCTGACTCATAGGCCAGTGAACTGAGAGGGCAAGACCCACCTTGGATGTTGCTGGCCCCAGCCAAGTGCATTATAGCCTGGAGGAAAAGTGGACCAATTTTGGAAAAGCTTCACTCTTTGGACATTAGTCTCCAGTTTCTTCAATCTTCTAATGAAGGCACGTGCTGGTGCCTCTCCAGGGAGCTCTCGGGCCTTCAGCCTTGGGCTGGTGCTTCATTCTATCCCTCTTATTCTGTGGATCCTATCTCCTTGGACCGAGCAACTACTGGATCCCCTGGAGCTCCAGTACCAGATGGCCATTGCGGATTCTTCGGCCTCTCATCCCATGGAATTCCTTTGTGGACTCTTGGTCATCCCCTGGTAATGCCCACATGTTTCATATTGATCTTGTTTCTCTAGAGGACCCTAAGCAGTAGAGGTTACTGTAACAGAATTTCATAGGGAAAATGGCTTATAAAAACCAGAAATTTGGTTTTCATAGATCTAAACATTTGGAAGTCAAAGATTAGGGTGCTGGGAGGTTCACTGTCTAAAGAGGCCACATTTTCTAGTTCACAAATGCTGGCTTCACATGGTAGAATAACACAGAGCACGTCTCTGGGGCCTCATTTATCATAGCATTGATCCCATTCATGAACAAACTTTTGCCAGCTGTTCCTCAGATAAAGGATTAATATCTAGAATATTTAAAAATTAAGATTCCCCCACTTTTAAAGACCCAAACCAAAATAGGGCATCGGAAATGAAGATACTTCTTATATGAAGAAGTACAAATGCTAAGTCACTGTATGAATACATGTTCAACATCACCGATCATTTGAAAAAGGCAAGTTGGAACACTGAGATTCTATGTAACTCCAGAAGGAAAGGCTATCACCAAGAAATCAACCAATAATAAATGCTGGTGAAGCTGTGGGGGCTAAGAAATGCTTCTGCATTGTTGGTGGGAGTTTGGATTGGTATGACCGCTATGGAAATCAGCATGGAGATTCTTCAAAATCTAAAATTAGAGAGTCCATTTGACCCATTCATTCCCCTTCTAGGTATCTTCCTGTAGGAGTTAAAAGCATCATATCACAGCAATATATGCACACCCATGTTTATAGCAGCAAGGTTTGTAATAGTTGAATTTTGAAAACAATGCAGATGCCATGAATGGATGAATGGAAAAAGAAAATGGTTTTATATACAACGGAATGCTACACTGCCATAAAGAAGGATACACTTGAGATATTTTTATGTAAACTTGAAAACAATGCAGATGCCATGAATGGATGAATGGAAAAAGAAAATGGTTTTTATATACAACGGAATGCTACACTGCCATAAAGAAGGATACACTTGAGATATTTTTATGTAAATGCGTGAACCTTGAGAATGTAGTTTCAAGTGAAATGGCATTGCTTCTCTTATGTGCGAGACCCAAAATGTAAATTAAGGATCACAATGTATAATAGATACTGGGAAATAGGAAGAAAATGTTCAAATGGGAAGGGGAACGTGGGAAGTAGGAGGGGGAAGGGAAGAAAAGAAATGAGGATAAGAAAATTTAAAAAAAAAC